ACTACCTCAGAACGGTGTTCGGGTTTGGAATTGGGTGCGGCGTTGGATTTGGTGTTGGGTATGGACAGGGGATTGGATTTGGCCGCACACTGCAATCGCTAAGATCTCAGCTTTTCCAGCCTAAGAGGAAGTCCAAGAGACCAATCCTTGTTCTGATTTGATTTCCTGTATTGTCGCCTGGATTCTGTTTGTTTCTTGTTTCCTGTCAAGACAAGTAGAATTTGAATTTCTGCTGTTCTTTTGTTTGACAAAACATCAGTGTCGACGAACCCGGATGGTGTGATTTTGGCTAATAGCATTTTCTTTTTCCCCTGCCAATCTTCGGCATTTGTAGGCAGTTTTACTGCCGAAGTCTTGACCGTGGTGGTGGTGGACGCACTTTAACTCATCCTTTTATGACTATGAATTTACGCCTGAATCTGGATTGTAGACAACAACCCTTTCATGATAAGGTTGCGTGAACACCAGCCTTTCTTTCTTGTTCTACGGCCATGACGACCGGTCACGACTACAACAATCCTATCATTTGATGATCTTGAAAAACGAATTTAGCATATTCAGATGTGGACAAGGAGGCCTTCTAGGTAAAAGTTCAAACATGCATTCGTCGATATTACATGCATTCTGATTCCTTTGGCAACAAGCTCCAACTGATAAAATACCGGTGGCACGACTAAAGAGTTTGGCCATAATCACGTTAATCTCAAATTACCAAAACGAGCAGCAGTAATCAGGTAGTAATTGCTTCAGCACTCCACTCCATCTGATATTGACGTGTTATTTATCAGCCAAATCATCACATTAACAGAATGATTTGTGACTAGAAGTTCTGAATAAATTACTAGCTGACGAACTTCCATAGAACATCAAACTGCACCCCACCCCCGGGGGCGGGGGAATCAATCACTAGTTTCTTCAACATGTTACCACCAGTATATGATTGCTCTATGGAAAGGGGTCTCGTGGCCAGCTTGCAGAAAAATGTGGAAGTAAACACCACAACAGCCCGGTCGGCCAATTCAGGCCCTAGAGACTCGTTATGCTGTCCCTCTGAAACAAGTGCCTTCAGCAACTAAACTTTCCCAAGGACGGCTCAAGAGTTCTTTTGTTCAGCCAGATAGACCAATGTGGCACTATCAGTATTTTTAATCAGTTCAATTATTTGCATGTACATTTAACTCTTCTACATCAAAAATCCTTTCCTTTCTTAAGGTCTAACAGCAACGGAAGCAGCCCCAACTCCTAATCCAAGTAAAACATCCTATAAAACGCCCTATCTAGAAGCTAAAAACTGCCACAACCAACACAACACAGAACATAGAATGGCTCTATCAGAAAGCAAATCCATCAAGCACACAAAATACATAAACAATTCAGCAAGCAACAAAAAACTGTTCCAATGCTAGAATTCTCATTGCAGAAGCCATTTAATACACTGCTGCAGACAGTGTGACCATCAATTGCAAGGAATAAAAGCTTTTGAAGACAGAAAAGAAGAACATAGAATGGATGAAGGTTGGCCTCTATATCCTGTCACTCACATTAAGACTGATGTGTAAACCCTGCAAACTACCGATGTTACGTAAACCAGAAACAACTACAAACCATCCTTCCCTTATAACAGAGTAAACTATTGAATCTAGCAAACTTAGCACTCAAATACCAGTCCGTCAAATCAAGATTTGAAGTAATATGTTTTCTAAAATCACAAAGCATCAACCACAAACAAAGCCAATTTCACAAAGTGTTTTCTTCAATGATCCATAATCAACATTCCTACACACACACACACACACACACACACACACACATATATATGAGAAAAAGATACACCAACACACAGGATTTTGGGAGGATTATATAGTTCCTAAAGTCCACAAACAGGGAGGGCTAACAACAACACAAGGACGGTAGGAGATGTCCTAAATTAGTGGTAGCAAATCATGAGAAAACCTCAAGTTACAAAAGTTGCAGAAAAAGCTTCAATTCATAACACTCCAAAGAAACCTTAAACCTTGCAATACTGGCTAGAATGATTACATGTGTTAATACAATGGTTGACACCAAACTAATTCACTGTACATATCGAACCTGTGAAATCTAGTAAAAGCCAACAAAGTTTCTTTGTTTACCAAACATTTCAACTAGGTACCATACAATTATACTGGTAAAAAATCTCTTCCGTCTAAGCTACTCACAGATCTCCATTTCCACCCAACACCATTCAACATTCCTACAAATAATCTTACCTTCGCAACAAACCTAAACAACTAGAAGTAAATGTGCAATTACTATCAAAAGCAACCTAAACAACTAGAAGTAAAGACTACTATGCAGCACGCAAAGCAAATTCTAATACTTGGGAAAGGGAAATTACGTTAATCGTGAAATACTCATTGTATCTTCTGGTTAAATCCTGCTATAGAAACGAAATAGTACAAAATTGACAACAAACGCATCCCAATTTAATAAAAACACTCTTTCCATTGATGAAAGACAACAATGCTGAAAATACAAAATTCAAAAATTTAAGGCACCAAAAAAGAGAAACAATCGCTTTTAATCGATGTTTTGAAGAGAGGGTGCAGCAGCAGCAGCGACGTCATCCACAGTGAATTTCCCCTTAGCCTTGTCAGCAGCCCTCCCCTTAGCTTTCCTGTCCAGCAAATCCTTACGGTCCTTATCCAGCTTAAGCTTGGTCACCACAACATTGGAGGGGTGGATTCCGACGTTGACCGTAGACCCGTTGACTTTCTCCCGGGTAATCCGCTCGATGTGGATGACCCATTTCTTTCTGTATACTTGGACGACTTTGCCCTCCCGGCCTTTATAGGTGCCACGGACGACTTGGACTTCGTCGTCCTTGCGGACGGGGATGGAGCGGACGTTGTACTTGTTGCGGAGATCGGCTGAGAGAGCCGCGCTCATGATCACTCGGCGCACGCTTGAGGGAGCAGTGAAGTGGGCCTTCCGGCTCTTCCGGCGTGAGCTGGAGACTCTTGGGTTGTACTTCATTTCCGGCGGGGATGGCGGAAGTGATGGGGGGGGGGTTGGGGAGATGGGGAGAAGGGCGTCGTACGAGGATGTGGGGATAGTTGTGAGAAAAGCGGAAGCGGGGAAGTTGGGAAGGTAAAGGACGGTTTAGGGTTTCTGAATGATTTGACGATAGTGGGCTTGAGACTGGAGCGATGGTCCACGGACGAGTGGTACTACAAGTTGCTAATTGCCAAAGGGGTATTTCCGAACTTTTGAGAAATAGAGAGTTTTTCAAATTTTGAAGACTTGAGGCTGGTACTTTCACCTTCAACTCTACTAATCTACTTAGGTTCCGTTTGATAACATTGAATCTGAATTCTGAATTCTAAAATAATTAATTTGTTAAATTTTAAACACTGGAAAGAGATATATGAATGTCTGAATCTTAATGCTGAATCTATTTATACTGTTTGATAAATATTCATAACTTAATGCTTAATAAGCTAAATTGTACAATTTTGCCCTTCTATCTTTTAATCCAAAAAGGAAATAGAACCTATGATTTAATTAGCTTAAAATTGTTATGTATAAAAAAGACAATATTTATTTTTAAATCAAATTAATATAAAAGAAGAAATATATTATGCAAAACATTAAAAGAAACATTACAATCCAATAATTCATATAACATATAAATTCGACCTAAAAAATATAGAAATGATTGTTTGAATAGAGAATATCATATTGTTTTGTTTAATTAGATAAGGATTTTGAATAGAGAATATTAGATTGTTTAATTAGATAAGAATTTTGAATGTAATTAACAAACAGGGATAAATTTGGTAGATAAGATAAAGTAATTGAAGTAAATCTCTTGATTCTTATCAAATTAAGCATTCAGTTACGATTCTTGTGCTGAAAAAAATACATACAAATTCAGCACCATTTAATAAGTTCAGTAGGTGAATTTTTATTTATCAAACACCCAAAACCTCTTAATGTCTGAATGAATTCAGTTTCAGCACTTTTTTATGTTATCAAACAGGCACTTAGTGTGGACTAGGGTTGCAAACGAGCCGAGTCGAGTCGAGTTTTGAGCTAATCGAGCCAAGTCTCGACTAAATTTTACCAAGCTCGAGCTCGACGAGCCGGCAAATTTCGAGCTCGAGCTCGAGCTCGAAAAAAAATAAAAAATAATTATTTTATTTTAAAATAAATAAATAAAATAATATTTTTTTCTTAATAAATAATAAAATATTAAGGATATATACGTAATTTTACTATGAAAATAAAAAATAAAAAAATATATATATAATATACGTAATTTTATTATTAAATAAAAATAAAAATAAATAAATATATATATATATATATATCCAAACTCGTGAACCCGCTCGCGAGCTAACGAGTTTAATATTTTGAACTCGAGTTCGAGCTCAAGTTTAACTCGAGCCGCTCGCGAGCGGCTCGATTCATTTGCAGCCCTAGTGTGGACTTGTTTTCTAATGATTATTTTAATCAATTATAGAATCTGATTCAATCTCAACTCTCCTTTGTGAAATTGTGAACTTGTTTTTGATTGATTATTCTAGCTAACTGATTCAACTTCAATAATTGTGAATTTGACTCCATTAATTATTGTTAAAGTCTGATTTTGAAAATTTATTTTAACTCTTATTTTACATAATCAATTTTTGTGATATTTTCCATCGATTGCTTTTGTATTATTTTAATTATAAATTTCTTAATCACTAAAAAAAGTTAAAATTCATAATCATTTAAAGAGTAACTTTTGTTGATTCCCTCCATAATAATCATATTTTACACAATATAAAAAAGCAACCGCGAAAAAGACCGCAAAGGTTACAACTTTGACGGACAACTCGTACCAACTCAAAACGTACAACTTGCAAAGCCTCTCCAAATTAGGCATTTTGATTGATGAACGAATACTCTGCCACTGCCAGACTCCTGAAGCGCATCTACTGATACCCTGAGATGCTCACCCCTCCATGTTCCTCATGTCATGCAAAGGTTGGAAACATTTATATTGGGAATCATTAAAAAAAAATCCAACCGTGAATTCAAGGTGGAAAGTGGGAAAATTTCTCCACACACATGATTGTATCAACTCCTCCAGCTTTAAAACCAGTAAGCAAGAAAATTTTCAACCTAATAACTACAGAGAAAATGCTCAAGTCTCTCTCCGACCAGATTCTAGATCTTCAACTGCTGTGCCAGGATCAACAGTCGAAGACATTTCCATGGATGCATTGTTGCTTTCATTTTGGTGGTTTTCATCTTGAGCTTCTGCATTCAGAGCATCGGTTGGTTGCATGCTGGCATGTATTTCCTCCTGAACCCTAAAGTAGGCGTACGTCCCCCAACCTACAGCAACAGATTAACAGGCGCTGGGGTAAATCTGCACTAAGTCATCATATCGACGCCAATCTTCTTCAAAAACAGCCTAGCATACTACCAAAAAAAAAAAAAAGCCCTCATACACCCGATCTGATTATTATATACATTGGAATCCCATTAACTTAACATGAAACTCCAATTACAGTAAGGAGATCAGTTACCATCATTTGAAAAGGAAATAGCAGCTTACCGTCCACATGATATGGGGGTGGGAAGAACTGCAAGTAGCAGAACATGGCCACTATGAGACCTGTTAAAAACCACAGCCTTAGAAAGTACAGTGTCCAAGTTTTCCAATTAAAGACAAATATATCACGACAAACCAACCTATGAGACCTCCAGCAAACACATCCTGCCAGTGGTGCCTATAGTCATCTACCCTTGAAATGGCAACAAGAGATGCAACAAGCAGGGGAAGGAAAACAATGCAAAGCTTTGCAACGTGGCCTCTACGGTCAAATGCTTGAATTTTCCCAGACAAGTACAGTGATAAGAAACCCAGACCAGCAAATGACCCTACAGATGTCCCAAGTCATGACTGAGTCAACATAGACAACAACTTAAGAACACAGCTTGACCTCGTGTTGATTTCAAACCTCTCCTGCCCCTTCATAATATCTCACATAATTTGACGAACATATGAAGAACTCATTGCTTAGGATGATAAGAAAAATCAAGCAAGGTAGATATGAGTTATAGACAGGCTATACGCATGAACATGTTTTTGCTTGTTATTTTAGATTTCAAAAAAGATGGGATTATACTCACAAGAAGTATGCCCACTTGGAAAGCTTTTGCGTCCATCCTTAAGAATATGTTTCTGCCCGTGGCATTCTACATTTCCCCACTGATCATAAACCTAAAAGGCAACACAAATATCAACATTAGACTAATGAAAACTGACTTCAAGAAATAACTGAATACCACTGGCTACTTCTCATTAAAGATATGGAAAACCAAGTCCAACAGCTGTGTACATCTTTTCCATCTGGAAAACAACGCCAAAAGAAGTCTGGTCGAGGGCGGCCAACAGCATCTTTTATGGCATCTGTTATGACTCCAGTTATCAGAACAGAGAATAAGAGCCCTGCACTTGCCAGCAACATAAGATGTAACAGTCTGGGAGGTAATTTCACTGGAATCAGAGTACTTTCGATTGTACAGCACAATGCTTAAAACATTTATTACCCAGAATGGCGTGATGAAGATCATAGACATCTGGTCTACGCAAATAGAAGAGTAGAAAGACGACCATTGGCAAGAGGATGGCATACACCTACTTGGTTTTAAAGGAAAATTGAAAGGATAATAAGACACATAACCAACTCATGAACTCATAGACGGTAGTACAGATTCACTTAGATAATGATGACTGAACTTACTGGCACAGCCCATACAGGAACAGTGTTCTCTTTCATTGGATACTTGAGATCTGCCATCATATCTTTCCCAACATAGCGGTAAAAAGGATTGATGACATTGAGAATGACTACTATTGCTGCAAGAAGCATCAGTATGAGCCAGTCATGCATATGTTTTCTAGCCAATGTAACCCCATGAGTTCTCACAGTATGTGCTCCAAGCTGGGCCTCTCTCATTCTACTCTGCTAAATATCAACACATGGGCACAGCAGACTAACAGAATTGTCAGATTATTCTGAAGGAATCCACAAAAGTGCACAAAGCAGCTAAGATTGATACTGGCTGAAAATTCACAGGAAAAATGATAAAATCACGACAAAAATAACTTATTGCAACCAAATACAAGATATATGATCCATTGATCTGATCCGACTAAGGTGAACCTAAATGCCCAACAAAGATCATTTCCAAGCACAAGGAAAAAGGGTTAAAGAATTCAACATGGTTAAGAGCTCGAAAAACAGCAATTTATTTTCATTCTCCAACTCCCAGATATACTTTTCCAACATTTTATATGCTTAAAAAACACATCATTGTGTTCACTTCAATAAGCTCAAACCTCTTTTTTCCCCCTAAAAAGTAATAAGCACGGAGTTAGAGAGGGGCATAACAAAGTAAAATTTGTGAATAGATTGGACAATTTATAAAGCAATTGCACCTGGTGGTTCTGGTATCTTATCAATGGCTGGTAGAGGTGTGAAAACCAGTCCCCTCTGAATGGAAAATTTCCCCACTCTGGTCTTAGAATGCCCTAGATAAATGAGAAATCAGTTAAGCACAGACACAGCATGATGGACAGAAAGTACTACAAGAATTTATTGAGTCTATCTTACACAACTAAATACATGAACCCTTGAAAGTTAAGACAATTGATTCTGAAGTCAAAAACAAGTCTCCCAGCATCCATACTAGCTAGGTATTTTAGTATAAGATATGAGGTGGTTGTCTGGTGAAACATGCAAATAGGTGCTAGCCTATCACCATTGTTCAAGATACAAGTCAGCATTCTACCATCTATGAAACTAAAACTGCATTCGATGCCAGAGTGGGCCATTATCTTGCACTTCCTGAAGGTTGGCTCTCCATATTGTTGCATTGAGGCCGGTAACCTCGTATCATTTGGCATCAATTGACTAGCTATTTCATGTACATTGTACATCCAACACAGATACCTTGAGACATGTAATACCATCACTATGTTTACAGTACAGGGCAACAATATTCTTGAGTCTTGACATAGGGATCCTTCCTCTCCCCATTACCCAGCTGGGTTGCTGTGCCATATTGCCCTCCATCCCTGCCCCCCCATCTAAAGAACATCTCTCTCCCCCCACCCCCTTATATAAGTACCTAAATAATAACCTGTCTCCTCCACCTATAACGACCATGAGATTCTCATGTAATTATGTGATACTAATGAATGTCGGAAACAACAAAGATTAGACTGTTCTAGAAATCACAAGTCCGAGGTTGGTAATCATAAAATAATTCTACATTTATACATTTGTAAAACCTGAAAACCTCAACAATCTGCAGTCTCTTATGCATAACTTGCAAATGAGAGACGCATTAGATAAAGAGATACATATAATCTGACTTCAACTAGTGATGAATTAGCGTTGGAAATAAGAATGTAATGATAACTCAGTAAAAGGCTAATCTTTCCCTAGCTTTACCATTCAGATATTAAAAAGGTCATGCAATATCCATAACTTATAAAAGAGAACAATCTCGGTAAATATCTTTCTGACACACACAAGACAATGCCCTGTAATTAATGACCAGAGAAAGAAGAAAAAGAACAATTAAAGAAAATTAAGTATGCATACATATTTAACCCACCCAAAAAAATTCTACAGACAACCAATTTCACAATCTGCAACACCTCCACTTGCAAAGAGATAAAGGGTCAAGGGAAGAGAGTAGAATTATAAGCTCAAATCCAGCTGAAAGAAACATGTGCTGTTCTGAAAACACCAACCTGAGTATGAAAAACAGCTCTGCAATTGTCGACACACAAAAGGGATCTCAAATCCCACAAACCCATGTGACTTTCTAAATGTATGACACTCAAAAAGACACTAATCAAGCTAAAATTATCACTAAATATCTGAGCAATAAGCGCATCCTATTTCAGATATCATTCAACATTTAAGCAATAATACCAATTTATTAAATAGGATTCCACGTGTATTTTTTAATGTGCCAATGCTGTATACAGTGGTCCAGTAGATTAGCGATCCCTTATCCATGGTACGGTTGAAATAAAGTATTTAGTCATCACTATCAATAATGGGCAAGAGAACAAAGTTATGTCAACATGAAAGACTGATTAAAAAGTGGCAAACTAGTCTGACCTTTTCTATAAAAAAAAAAAGTTTAATGTTGTCTCGGCTACAAAATTTGACGGTGACCGCAAAACCAAAACATCTGGCAAAGTCACCAATGATACCCCGACCCTTCTAACCTTCTTCTTCAAAGAAGTTTCTATGGCGACTGAGGACGGCCTTAAAACGGCAAGGTGTTTATTTGTATTCCGAAATTTGCGTATCTTTACTTTTGTAGGTTTAATGCATAGGCGATAATCGGAAGGCGAATAAGGGGCCGCCATAGAGAAGAAGCAGGAGCTGTGCGTTGTTAAGAGAGGAAAATGCCACGTCTGTGAGTTGAGGAATGGAAAAGGCCTTTCGCGAAAAGGCAAAAACAAAAGCAAAAGTAAAAGGAATGACAAGTTGACAACACCAATTTGGGATAATTTCACAAATCTCCCCTGAGGTTTGCCTTAATATCAGTTAGCGCCCTTATAGTTTCAAAAAATCTCTCAAGACAGGTTTGTGTGCTAAAAAGTCAATTTTTGAGATAATAAATTATTTGAAATAATTTTGTGTAAAAATACTACTGTTGCACTTTTTTGATGTGATATACGTGGAATAAAAAAGTGAATGAAAAATGTGTTAATAATACAAGTTAGTCAATATGTGTAAATAAGATAGAAATAATATGTAATCCAAACACGCTCATTTAATGAATGTGGAAACCAAAAAACAATCTACCATCATACTAGTACTGAGTGTGTTTAGATAGGCATTTTGTTCAAAAAATTATTTACTTACAACATGATCACATTTTTCAACACATCTTTCTATCTTTCTATCACTTTTTATCTCGCATACATTATATCATAAAAAGTACTATAATAATTATTTTAAATAATATGCTATTTAAATAATGAGTGTTTGTAGAAGCAATCTTGTAAAAGGAATGAAAATCTTCCAAGTAATGAGATTATGGCATTGGGATTACTTGGATCAATTTGGAGTGGTGCATAGGCCCTACAATGTTTTATTCAAAATACTCTCAATTTGGGCTGCAACTTTTTACATGGGCGATATTCTAAGGGTCTTAAAAAATGGACATACCTTTTTTTTTTAAAAAAAAAAAAAAGGGACGACAAGGGGATGTACTTAAGAAATAATCATTGGGAAATTCTATTTCCATTAAAAATTGGGATAATTTTAGTAACCTTTCCTAAAGTTTCCAAGTATTTCAGTTAGTTCTCTTCAAGTTTTAAAAATTATACTTACTTCCTTTGATTTGATATTTTGGTAACCAAACCTTAAATTATGGTAAAAAATAATTAATACCCTAAAGTGCACTTATCTTATAAAATTTATTTTATTTGTCTAAACAATTATAAAGTAATGCAGTATAATTATATAATATGAATGAGTGCCAAGTTTTTTAAGTCAATATTTATTATTTGATAATTAATTGTAACAATAAATCTATCGCTATAATAGGCTACTTTTTATACTGTTTTATCGGAGATATAGATTTTTTTTAAAATTGAAAAGAAAGCATTATCTTGATTTTTTTAAAGGTTGTGAACCAGTTATGTGGTAGAACTACCACAATTTGGTTGTGATTTTGGCCTATTTGATTTTAGGTTATTGTCAAAATTTTTTAAATTTGATACCTAGAAAAAAAAAGCTACAAAAATTTAGATTACATTAAAGGTTATCAAAAAAGTTGACTAGTTTGACGTTTGATCAACATAGAGGTTTGGTGTAATATTAATAGTTCTTCAGATTTTATGATGAAATATAAAGAGAAATGAATAAACAGGAAAAAGGGAAAAATATATAAAAATCCATCTTTTATATAAGCATAGCCAACAAGAGAATTTTATTAGAATGTCGATGTTAGTAGTATCATTTAAAATCGGCAAAGGATGCACATGTAATTTTAAAAAAACCTAAAAAAAAAAAAAAAAACCTTATGAGAGGTTTCTGAAATTATCCTTTAAAAGTATAAGAAACCTGATGAATGGAATTCTACACAGTACTATCTGTAGTGCACTTACCAGGAATTTAGGAATCTTGGGTTGCACTGCTTGTAAATGTCCATGTCATTGCAATGAAAAAGTAGCGCATATGATAACTTTTTCATTGGATTAGTGGAAAATCACATATCATCGAAACATTTATTCACGCTAATACAATATTTGACTATGGAAATTACCAAGGATGCACCGCATTTGGAGATCTTGTACCTTTTTTTTTTTCTCGTTTTTTCTTTTTGGTTTAGTCCAAAACTAAACAAAAATTGGGTCGACAAATGTCAGGTCATTCAATAGCTACAAAGGTAATAGAATGGGGCCAGAAGTAGAGAATTTTCCAGTTTTCCTCATTGCAATATCGTACAACTTTCCGTGACTGGTGAGGTGTCAATGAGAGAGTGGTCAATGGAAGCTTGCTAGATTTCCCCTGCATATTCATCTTCCCGAGATTACACGTCAAACCATGCCACCATGACAGCCTGCTCTACGAGCTGGGATGTGGCTGTACCTTTCTCTCATTCTTTATTTATTTTTATTTTTTGACCTTACTGTGTGGGTTTGCTTTGGTAAAGCCTAAAGGCTGCGGGCTGCATCCTGGTAAGTAATCATCCGTGGTTAATCTTTATTTAATTACTCGTCATCTGTGGATAATCTCTTTTTAATTGAAAATGCCCTATTACATCATCATACACTCGCATGCTCCATTATTCAATCCCTCTGGAGACAGACATTTTGATCTGTTCTAACCCCATAACTTGTTACCCTTCAGGATCATTTAAGTGGTCGTTTCATTTGAAAACTACATCTGACTAAAGATGCCATCCCCATTACTCTCTGGCGCAGCTGATTGGCGTTCAACTTAGAAGAGATAGATAGGCACATGACATGAAAGTTTTCATTATTCATGTGCATATGTTACTTATTTCATATGTTTTCTTGTTGACTGACTTCCTCGGTTTTCTCTCATGCTGTGTGCAAATGTCAAGTCAAAACTCAAGATGCCCTTGCTTATTTAGGCACTTGCGGTGAAACCAAGTTAATCTACATACATCAAAACTTAATCCAAATTAGTCAAATTAAGAACTTGTTTGGCCTCCTATTTAAAAGTTAACGCATTTTTTAATTACTTCACATACATCATATTATAAAAGATAACTGCAGTAACTCTTTTTTTTTTTTTTTTTTCCAAAAACTCTATTAAAAATACAATCCAAACAAAATTTGAAAGTTTTGAATTAATAAAGTTTTGTTTTATATCAGAATTACTAAAAACTCTCTAACTTAAGTATAGAGCAATTTGAGGAACTACAATGATATATATATATATATTGAAAAAGAAAAAATTTTATGTTACGCTTGATGCAAGAAGGAGATACTTTTTTCAAGATGAAAGCCGTCTAGCTTAAATAATACTATTTGGGGCGATGAATATGTTTGGATAGTAAATTTTTTAAAACAATACGTTAAAAGAACATATGGGAACTTTAGACTCCATTTTTTTAGATAAACATGTAATTGTAATATGGTTGAAAGAACGCCTGCCTCCTTTTCAGAAAAATGTGAACCTCATAATTTCGTATAATTTGAAAAGAAAAGCCAATAAAGGGAACAAATTGCACAAGTCATTATATTGCTTTTTCACCATTTCCACAAAAGAGTATGCTACAAATAAGGTCAAGGATTTTTATGCTATGTGAGTCCACTTGATACAAGCAATAGTAAGATAGAAGAATTTTTGGATATAAGAAAGAATCATACCGATTCACTTATTCACCACGTCATAAATGCAACAATACTAATCTACCATGACAGCTTCTTCCGCAAGTGTTTGAACAATAAGGAAAAACCTCTTTTGATAATAACTTTAAATGAGGAAGAGACTAAAATTTTCATAGAGAAAACATTAGAAATTACTTTTAAAAAAATTAAAAACCCGATTTAATTTTTTTACTTCTTGAAAAAGGAACGATTTGCACACAAAAAACAAAAAAAAAAAAAGAAGAAGAAGAAAGAAACAAAAAATTGCGAAAATCACGGGATTATGATACTGTGTTGGTTATTTATGTAAATTACGACATTTCACTAACCTACGACCATAAGATTAAGGTCCTACCATAATTAACTGTCATTACAAGAAATCCCAAACCCTCTATAAAACCTTCTCCATCACTCCGCTCGAAGCTCCCCGGCCATCAAACCGCCCCAAACGCTCCCACCCAATGCCCAAAGGTCTCCACCGAACCAACCGATGGACCCACCACCTCCGCCACCGTCATCCACCGCCACAGACCCTCTCCCACCTCTCCCCACCACCCCACCCAAACTCCGACTTATGTGCAGCTATGGTGGCCACATAGTTCCCCGTCCACAAAACAAGTCCCTCTTTTACGCCGGCGGAGAAACCCGAATAGTCGCTCTGGACCGCCGCACGGTCTGCACATCCATTTCCGCCCTCACCGCCCACCTCTCCCGGACCCTCTTTGGCAACCGCCCGTTTCATCTGAAGTACCAGCTCCCAAACGAGGACCTCGATTCACTCATCTCCGTCACCACTGATGACGACCTCCAGATTATGCTGGAAGAGCACGACCGCATCTCCGCCGTTACGTCCCCTACACCATCCCGCATCAGATTATTTCTCTTCCCCATAAAGCCAGAGTCTCTGGGTTCAGCGCTTCTTGATCCGAAAGCTGACTCGTGGTTTTCTGATGCTCTGAATAACACGAGGATTGTTCAGAGGGGTCAGTCTGTTGATGCTGCTGGATTGGGTCAGGGACTAATGGGTTTGGATATTTTGGGTAGATCGGATTGTAATGCGGCCTTGGAGAATCCAGCTGAAAGCATGAGTAATAATGGTGCTGAGGCTAAGGAAATCAGTGGGGCTGTGCCGGAATCGTTGGTATTAGAGACTAGCTCGTCCTTTGGGTCAACTAGTTCTTCAATTTCAATGTCAAATGCGCCGGCTGTTGGGATCCATTGTGAGGACGGGAGCGTCAGTTTGTTCGAGAGGAGGCTCAGAGTGCCCTCCTCAGCCTCAATTGACAGGTAATAGCGTGTTTCCGTTCGTGTGTTTTTTTTTCTTTTTGATTTCAAAATTCTTTTGTGGACTTGATACTTAAGAATCCAAAATAAGGAAAAGTTAAATGAGTTAGCTTTTGCTTTCTATGTGATCTTCAATTTTAATTTCCAAGCAACTGATGATAGGAAAAATAGGTGCATACTGAAGTTTTTTCGAGGACTTAGAATTTGATGAGGAGATTTGGGGAAGGCTCGAGTTTTATTCAAACTAAATGATGCGCATCCTTGAAATA